TATATATATATATATATATATATATATATATATATCACTTATAATCATGACTGCCCTCTTACCTTATAACTATGTCTAACTTATACTGTATTTCGTAGATCCAATATCACTTGTAGTCTCGATATTGGGAACATAAATACCCTTCTACTTCTATGCTTATTCATACACTTTCTTATTGATTTTGGATTAGGCTACAAATGCTTCTATTTACTTTTTCTTTTTATAGGGGTGGGTGGGTGAGGGATTTAATTGTCAATGCTCAAAAATACTAGCAGCACAAGTGTTGACTCTTAAACACTCGCTACAGTGGGAGAAGCTAAGCTCCTCTCTGGTTAATGTTATCAGTGCTATTGCTCTCTCCCACTCAAATCAAAATGAATCCAAAGAGCTTTGTCTCCTTGATAGATGGAACGATTATTAGGAAATTATAACCTGTATGGATCATCATTATCATATCTCCACTATGCACAAAGAAAATGCCCTTAAATTTTTGCTAAATCCTCAGGTTTCTGCCTTCTTAATGTTGGGCATAGTCAAGATTTGGATTGGAGGAATCTACATTCATTATTTCTAAAACCCTTATAGAAGGGACAAAAAACATAAAATTCAAAAGACTTGGAGGGCTTAGCCTTCATGATGCACATAATCACATCTACCCAAACCAAATTTACATACTTATTGTTACTTTTCAAAACATAAAATCCAAAGGCTTGATTAAAAACAAAAAAACTTCAAAATTATAAATCCTAAGTGCTTTGCCTTTTGTTGATGCATGCAAATCATCTTTGAACATAACTAGGGGGATCACCACCATAATCAATGCTTCTCAAATAAGCATTGAGCATTCTGGAATGTGGCTTCCATTAATCAAGTGTGTGCTTCTTGATAATGGGCACAATAGAAGACAAATCTCCATTAGAGGGATTTTTCGCTTCTAACTCCAAATCTCCGCATATTAGTCCCCCATAAAACTTATATTGCATTGAGCCTTCATAGAGACCGATGGCTACTATTAATCAAAATTTCTATCTCGAAAGTGAGAGAAGTAAATTAATCATGGGGGATTGTGCCAATAAGAAGCTTCGAACTATGAATATCAAGTCCTCAAATGTGGGTGATGTATAATTATTATTTTATCTATTACTTGATTTTTCTCAGGAATTCATCTCTAGACCCATATTCTTAATTTTAGAGCCAGGTGAGCTTTCATAGGTCGCATAATATTAATGACTTTGAGGTTAATTTTTTCATGAATTTATCATTGTCAAATTCCTTTTTTTAACCTGCTTTCTTTTGTCTCTTCGTTAGTTCCCTCTTTTTTCTTCTTTTTTCCCCATAAACATTACATTGCTTTGAGCCTTCATAGAGCTTGATGGCTAGTTTTAATAAAAGGTTCTTTCTCAAATGACAAAGATATAATTAATCATGGCGGATTGTGCAAATGAGAAGCTTCAAACTATGAAAATGAAGCCCTCAAATGTGGGTGGCTTTCATAGGCCACATAATGTTAATGACTTTGAGGTTAATTGGTTTCATGAATTTATCATAATCAAATTCTATTTTTCATTACCTTTTTTCTTCGATCTCTTCATTAGTTCCCTCTTTTTGCCCCTTTATACCTGAATTTTTTCGAATTGCATTCTGTTAATACTTTTACACAATGCTCTGAGGAATTGATTATTGTGAAAGCTGAGACGCAGATATTTAAAGAGAGTGTTGATTTTCATTTCTTAAATATAATGCTACAGTTTTGTTAATATTCTTTTTTTTTTTTGAAAGAGTGACACATGTGATAGGAAAGTACAGTAGCACACATTCACACACAATTAGATTTAATTTTTATAAGGATCCCATATATCAAGCATTTAGAAGTCTACATTTTCTTCATTTCCATCTTTTCTCACATATTTTGTATTTGTGTGTCTTTATGGAACTCCAATTCGAATGGAAATTTCTTTTTATTTTGCAGGTCTCGTTTGGTGTTGTTGGTTTGGCAATTGGTGGTTCCCTTCTCTCGTAAGTAGGTGCCTTTTATTATTATTATTCTTATTGTTTTCTGCTATTGTCTAGGCTCTGTGAATTTTCTGCTCAAATGTTTAATAACTTTCAGGTATGGTTTTGGGGCATATTTTACCATCCTACCAGGATCAGAGTGGTCTGCTTTAATGCTCACATATGGGTTTCCTCTTGCAGTTATTGGTATGGCTCTGCAGGTTAGTCATCATTCTAGCAGCTAAAAAGAATGTTTAGCCTAGAACCTATGTTATATTTATATTAATTTCCCAATTTTTGATCGTCCACTTCCACCAATCGTTTTTGGATGTTAGGCATAGCCTTTCATCATCTATTAGTTTCTTTATGTGTTCTAAAATTTAGCTTTTGCTTGAATGCTTTTTATCTTATGCTAGTGTCTTGAAGAACCATTTAATTGAGATGGCTTTGGAGTGTTGGCCTCTACTACCAGCCAAAATGAAATCATAAAAAATATAATATAGAAAATACCTACTACAGCCGCTCAAATCCTACGCAAATCCTGTAGAAACAATGACCCACACCTCTGCAACGGTGCCTACCTTGCATCCTGTCTTTGCGTGCTTTGTCCCAAGTTGGCTCCTGCTTTCATTAAAAGGAGGCCAAATGAAGCCTTCGGGGTTGCTTCTTCCTCAGCCACCCACGCAAGCCCCTCTCACTGTCGAACTCCAGATTGCGTCACCCTTGCCCTGTTTGCAATCTTTATGTCCACAAAGAGAGAGAGAGAGAGAGAGAGAGAGAGAGAGAGGGAGGGAGCATTTTGAAGCCATCTTCAAGGATGAAAGAACCATGATGCGTATAACAAGTCACATGTTAACACTAATGGCATGTTAGATATAGTGGCATTCCAATCAATGTGCCTACAATCAAAAGTATGAAGCTTTCAGTAAATGTTGAGAAATTTCATGCCAATCAAGAGGCAAATATCATCGAACATTAAAAACCAGTACACAAGCAAATGTAAGAAATTATCAATTGACATACATGGGAAAATTATTGATGAATGCAATCCATTCAGCAGTCAATGTTAATATATATATATATAATGTGTTGAATCTACCAACAAACAACAATAGTAGAGATACTGCATGGATGGTGGATCCCTTATGAACAACATAAGATTTGTATGGATATAGTGATTGTGCTCACAAGTCATGGTACTGAGTATATTGCAAGTACGATGAATTCTCCTATAAATATGGATGGAGAAATTAATGTCGAATGCAACTCAACCCCATTTTCAAGTTATATAGATAAATAAGTTAACTCGACTACAAGTGATGAAGATTGAAAGGCCACTTATGAATGACGAATAATCGATAGTATGCCCAATAAATTTTGAGAGAAGGGATAGTAAGAAGCATGTGATGATCATGATGATTTGTCCACAATCATTTGCAATGAACACAAGGGGACCACAAGCAAAGCAAGGGAGATGTAGGAGAAGTGGATCCTTTGTTATCAATGTAGACTAATGTGTAAATGAGCACATAACAGTCTACATTCAAATCACAAAACCCACATGGGCCTCAACGAGCATGTTATGGGTACACACGTGACGTCTATGGATGTTACATGGGTCAGTAAATAAATCAAAGTTCGAGCCCGATCATTCTATGCGAGTTGATAGGAGTCGACATAACTCGAATCAATAAATAAATATGCAATCGTGAGGTTGACCCGGATATTTATTTTATACATTCATATTAGACCTTTAATCTCTATGATAAAAGAAGTCCTTCAACAAAAACATACACCCGACGAGCCCAATCCTTTGTTGACCAGTAGACAAAGTCGACAAGGTTCAATTTATGAAATATAAGTGACCTCGAAGTCACCATAATGATGGCCGTGTTGAACAAGAAATCTCAACCGATGGAGTTAATTCCAAATGTCCAAAATTCCACCCAAATACTCACAAAAATTTAAAATTCTAGAAAATCCAAAAATTTTAAAATTCCAAAATATTTAAAACTGAAGTAATTCATCTAATTACTTAAACTAAAATCAATCCACCATCCGTAACAGTTTGCCGGGGTGGACAAATTGAAATTTACTTCAGCTCACATAGAACTAATGCCTAGTAGAAAATATCACTATGATCCATTTTCAAGTAATCTCTTGCCAATAAGGATATGCTACGTGTCCTTTGACTGACAGTTTTGCTGCCAAATGGCACTGTAGGATAAACTGTTATGACCTGGGGCCATCTGAACAGAGTGATTTTGCCGCCAAATGGCACCACTAAATTCCTGTTATGGCCAGAGCCAATGCGTTCCTTAATGACATCAAATACTTGAGATATGAATCAATAAATATAATCGATAGGGGAAAAATCCCTCTGTTAGCTAAGGTGGATTTAAATTTATCCCCTTAGACAAACATTCACCCTAGGTCTACAAGGTACCCTTTGACTAAATAACCCATGGCTGCCGACAAGGATCATTTTGTCAGGTTGGGTCAATTACCTCCTCTGACTAAGTAGACCAGGGACCACGATGGCCCGGGACGACGGAACCATGGGATCTTGATCGGGTCCATCATCCATTACCCCACCATCTGCTTTAAGTGTAAAATGATGAAATTTCTAATTTTAAATATCAAACATTCAAATTACCAAACCCTTGCTGCTATTATATGCCAGATATCACGTATTCTATATATATCTGATTGACGACGAGCCTTAATCGAAAGTTCTCTCTCGTTATCGGGAGGGGTAATTAACTATAGGGGCTTGCGCCTATAGGAAACTAGAACTCAAATCATAAAGTCCTCACAAAATGAGGGTGAAATTTATGAGTAGTGTTTTATCTACAAACCCATCTATCTTCCCAAAATTTACCCCGAAACTTAATCCGTTAAAACTCCCCTGAAAAGCAGCAGGGGAGGCCGGGGCTGAATTTTCGGAGCCCACATGCTGATTTGACAAGATGCATTGAGATGTTTCTTCAATTGGATAATAGACATCATTTTGAATTACAAGGTGTTATGAGTTAGGTTTCCATCGATGTTTGATCAAGGGTTCACTTACTGAGGAAATAAAGGAGAGAACAAATTAATTGGCATGGATTTGAACCGGGACATCAAAGTTTGTGTTGTTTTGGATAATGTAGTTAGATTGAAATGATGTAATTTCATGAAATGCTAAATTTGGTTCAGTTATGACTGTTTCTAAAGGACTGCTCTTTTCCGCACGATATATTCTTTTTTGCCATGAAAGTATCATAAGGTGATTAAGTGCGTCCTAATCACTGAAGCTTCAATACGAGAGGATTCCAAGGAGGCCCATGTTTCTATTGAAGAACTCTTAATAAATCTTTTGCTAACTAATTATCTCTACCTAAGGGCCTTGATTTATTGATTTTGAATCTTCCTAATGGAAGGTTCTAGAGTTTTTTTTTTTTGAGTCGAGCCTTGACTTGATATTTGAACTTAAACTCTTTACACTTTTTGCTGTTTTTGTTAAACTAATTTGCTCTCTTTTATGCATCAACTTAGTGGGCGCCTCTATGTCAAAGGATACTTCTGATCTTTCTTTCCCTTTATTTTATTTTTGGATAGTTTTATAAATGATTTTTTCCTGTTTAAGAAATAAGTTCTTAACTTGCCTATTTCACTATTCTAGCAATTACTCTTAAGGTGTTCATATTAACTCAACAGTGTTTCATGTTAGTGCAGTATGCGGAGCTAAAGCCAGTGCCATGCATAACCTACTCTGATGCACAAAGTTTGAGGGAAAAATGTGCTACTCCCATTCTTAAACAGGTAATTTATGAGATTATTCGATATGTATGATGTTCTGGAGTACATTCTTGCAAATCCTTAGAAAACTTTTGTCAGATTGATCAACTATAACTTTTCTTATCAACAGCCTACTTGCATGTATAAGAAATCATATGGTAGACCTTTGTAACATGTTGGTGGCAAAAATGGAATAAGTAGCTGAAGGACCAGAACGTCACAGCTTAGTCCCGCCAAAATCAATCACTTAACAAATTTGAATATTGCACGTAGTTTTAGGAGAGCAGAGCTTAGCCCCGAGATAATCAAATGCATATTTAAAAAACCATTTTGCGCAATATTGTATCAACGATTTGCTAACTGTCTTCATGTGAGCTGGTGGAGATCCTCAATTGGGCCCCGATTACTTGGAACAGATAATAACTTATCTTATTTCAATTAGAACATAATGCATGAAATCAACTGATCCAAGGTGTGCAGATGCGTAATTTTGAAAGCTTCTATAAAAAATGGTTGACCACCTATTTTATTTCGACAAAGTGGCATTAAAGCAGCCTAGGTTTGAGCCCTTTGACCCTGTCTAGTATGTCAGGAGTGTTTTCTAGTTAATGTGTGGTGTGGGTTTACAGAGCATCATGCATAAACAAATCCTTTGCATGCCATCCAAAGTTCAAGCATTGACCTCTAAAAATATTTCATGAGGTGTTATCCAATAAAGTAGAAGCAAGTCGTAGGCACGCTTGAGATCAACTGTGGGTCGGTATGCAACGCTATGAGTGTGCACTTATGTACTGCTGTACTCTTGGTCTTAAAAAAACATACAATAATTGAGAGTTGCAATTATTTCTTTTTGTTTTTTTTGTTGTTCATCACCAGTTAACCACAATGGATTCCCTCTCCTGATAAAAAGGGATAGGGGCGGAATTAATAAGTTTCTTTTTGTAAGTGAGATATCCTTAGGATGATGAAGTGATACCAAAACATGTGATATTTTCCTTTGAGCGAGAATTCTATCTAAATGAATTTGTGGATTTTATGTTCACTTATGCCTCAAAGCTGTTGATTGATGGCTCACCAGAGTATAGGCATTTTGCTTATTTAAAGTGATAAGGACAATATTGGCAATTATGCACACTTTTCTTAACATGGAGAGGTTCTCTCATTTTTATCTTGCATTTTATTTGCAAGAGTTCTCAAACAAAATCATGCATTCCTTTCCTGGCATAGTGAGTTATTTTTGGGTTGTTTATTTTTGCCTAAATGGTATGTGCATTGCAGATCCTCGACTTATAGCATGTCGATATGTGCCACAATCTAGATCTGCATAAACTCACACATTAGATGGGCCATCACAAACTAGTCATACCCGACCATATTAGTTTGACAAGTTGAGCTTGACTAGGTCAATCTGTTCGATTAGTGGAGACAAGATGACAAGGTTTGAGGGTTGACAAGCTCAGCATCACGTCGAATTGTATTCAACTTTGGCAACAAAGTAGAGTGGAGCAATTGCTCACCAAGGTGAGTTGTTACGATCCTACTAAATAGAAAACCTTACCATTTGCGCGCCAGTTGATAGGCTTTAATCTGGCAACAAGTTTTTGATCGGTTGACAAACACAATAAATGAAATGAAAGAGATGTTGCAATCCATAACCCCTAGTTTGAGATTTTGATGATGACAAATAATGTCGTCTGAATTACTATTCATTGAATACCTTTGACTTATGCTATTGTCTGCGAGTACTAACATTTCAGGAAGATCACAAGTTACTCAGGGCAATAAGAAGACTCAAGACTGGATAGAGTAGGAGTGTGAGTTTATAAAATTGTAATTTTTCATTTATTATTTTTCCTTTTTATGAGTCTGGCCACAAATTCCATATAAGACCGAGCAACCATGAACACACACTGGGGGAGAGGGTTTTTTAAAAGAAAATGTAGATCTTTTTTTCTCTGTTGATTGTACTGTACGAGTTTATATCGTACTGTACGATCTGATCTGGCTAAAACATATTTCTGTGAACGGGTCGTACTGTACGATTTATATCGTACTGTATGATGTGTTACTAATCCAAAACCTTAGCCGCCAGATTAGTTTGAGTAAGTTTATTAGCCGTTCGTACTGTACGAAGAGATTAGTACTGTACGATTTATTTTGAATACTTACTTAAATTAACCCATGATTAGTGGAATAAATCAAGGATTAATTTATGATTGGTAATCGTACTGTACGAACCAGTTCGTACTATACGATGAACCGAGGCTATTTTTGATCGTCCCGGTGTTCATCCTGGATGATCCCTTGATTTTGACTAATATTAGAACTCCTGTTTAGGATTTTTTATTGCAACAAGTTTTTTCGCAATTCACCCCCCCCCCTCTTGGCGCATTTAGTAATTTCAAGAGAATATTAACGTAATAGAAGTTCATTCAACAGTAGAGGAAAAGAAAGCATCTCCCAAAAATAGACTGATGACCACAAGAGTTCTATGTAAAAGTCAAATAATTATACCAATCTAAGATCCTATGGTCAGCACAAATATATAATAATAAATAAATTAGGACCGACCTACTAGGCTTGATTGACCTCTTATCTCCACTCACCTTGCCTAAATCTAGCCCATCACCTGAGGTGAAACATAAATATGGAATGAGATGAACTCAATGGATAGTATTCAACACATTAATATTAGAGTTGTGAAATGAGACTACAAAATGGCCAAGTTAGGCATCAAGCAGACAATGATCTCAGCCTTTATCATCAAGAAAATCTAATATACTATTATGGGCTTCGAAAATTTGGCCCCGGCCTTTGCCCGCTTTTGCTTTCTTCTTCGGTGAGGGAATTTTAACGGATTAAGTTCTGGGGTAAATTTTGGAAGGCAGGTCTGTGTTTGTAGATAAGACACTACCCAGAGATTTCGCCCTCATTTTGTGAGGACTTTATGATCTGAGTTATGGTTTCCTATAGGCGCCAGCCCCTATAGTTAATTACCCCTCCCAGTAACGAGAGAGAACTTTCGATTAAGGCTAGTCGTCAATCAGATATGTAGCATCCATAGATACGTAGTATCGGGCATATAGTAGCAACATGGACTTGGGTATTTTAATGGTTTGATATTTAAAATTAGAAATTTTCACCACTTTGCACTTAAAGCAGATGGTGGGGGAATGGATGATGGACCCGATCAAGATCTTATGGTTCCGTCGTCCTGGGCTATCGTGGTCCCTGGTCTACTTAGTCAGAGGAGGTAGTCGACCCAACCTGATAGAAGGATCCTTGTCGGCAGCCATGAGTTGCTTCGTCCAAGGATATCTTGTTGACCTGGGGTGAATGTTTATCTAAGGGGACAAATTTGAATCCACCTTAACTAACAGAGGGATTTATGCTTTATCGATCATATCCTATTGATTCATATCTCAAAGATTTGATGCCATTAAGGAACATATTGGCTCTGGCCATAATCGACATTTCGTGGTGTCATTTGGCAGAAAAAACACTTGGTTCAGAGGGCCCCGGGTCATTACCGTTTATCCTGCAGTGTCATTTGACGGCAAAATTGCCTGTTAGAGGACACGTGCAATGTCCGTATTAGCAGGAGATTGTTTAAGAATGGATCATAGTGATATTTTCGACTATGCATTAGCTCTATGTGAGCTTAAGTAATTTTTATTTTGTCCACCCGACAAACTGTTGCAGAGGGTGGATGTATTTTACTTTAAATGGTTCGATGGTTGATTTTCAATTTTAAATATTTGGATTTAGAATTTTTGGTATTTTGGATTTCATGAGTATTTGGGTGGCATTTTGGATTATTCGAAATTAACTCCTCCGGTTGAGATAGACATTCAACACTGCTATCATCGTGGTGTAGGAGATCATTTCCATTTGATTAAACCTTGTCGACCCTATCATGTCGCCGATAGGGGATCAGATTTCATAGGCTTTGTGTCTTTATTAGTGAATCCATATTTTTATAGGCCCTGGAGGTCTAATATGAATGTATTAAAACAGAATTATCGGTCTTCATAACCGTGTATTTGTTTGATGGTTCGAACCTTATCGACTCCTATTGATCCGTATAAAAGAATCGTGTTCGAACTTGAATTCACTTATTGACCCGCGCAGCATCCCTAGACATCACGTGTGCACCAATAACACTCTCGTCAGGGCCATGCGGGTTCTTGATTATATACCCTCTTTTAGTGTACCTATGTGTATACATATTATAATGCATGTGCGGGGGTATTTGTAGATATAGTTGGGCTGGTAACTGCCATTTGAATCCAGTAGTTTATTTGAAAGCTCATATACGCCTTCTGTTTGCTTCCCAATTGTAATTAAAATTTTAAAGACTAGTTCAACCGGTTCAGCTGAACCAGCCCCCCTGTTTAACAGAAGCTCGTGGGAGGGAGATCATGATCCAGGCGGACCGCAAGCAAGGCGGCTCGCATGCGTAAAGCTTCCTAAGCAGCTTGAATTGTATCGTCGATTGGATTTTCGCGTATAAGGATGAAAGGTAACGACTCCTCTCACAGGATATTGTTAGTTCGCTCATTCCGGTAGAAGAAATCGCGAGAGAGAAAGTTCCTCTTGAAGAGGAACAGTTGATAGAAAGAAAGAAGAAGAAGGTTTGTTTTTTGTTTTTTTTGTAAATCCTTCCCTATTTCTTCATATAAACAACGAGGGTGTTTCATTAAGGGAAAATGAAGAGATTTGAAAGTGGATAGAATGAATTTGAGAAAGGAAGAAGAAGGATTTTGGGTTGGAATAATCCTCTTTTTGTAAGTGATTCTCTTATCATACATCTTATGTTAGATTTTGTAGAATAAAATTATTAAAATTTTTTTTATTGCAATTTTAGAAGAGAAAGCAAGAAATAAAAAATTGAAAAGAGTTTGACTCAGCAAGAAAGAAAGGTCCTTTGAGGTAAAAGTTACAAGTTAAGAATTTTTTGTCTTATCTATTTTGGAGAAATTCTTAATGTTAAAATTGATTGGATTAGAAAGAATTTGACTAAC